AAACTTGACCAAAATTTAAGAGGAGGCTAATTTTTTTTATCGTATGTTAATATAATAATATAATGATAACAAATGTAATATAAGAGATGAATTTAGTAAAATATTAAAAAATAATAAATTTTTAATAAATTTAATATATAATATATATTACAATAAATTTGGTATCAATGAGTACCTATCTTAAGAATTACCTGTCTCAAATTAAAAGGGTAAAACGAATAGTCTGCAGCACCAATACACCGCCTTTTAAAGGTTCAATAGTTTTCATAACAGATCAACCAATTAAAAAATTAAAACAAATAGCATTTTCTTGTTGTGGCTGTTGTGGCTCGTTAGTGGCTATTGCAGTTCAAAAAGATTGTCGGTGGATTACATCTCTTAATCAGTGATTATATTTTATCAAAGAATAAGATACTAACTTTCAATTCATAATCATTTTTTTTTTGTAAAAAAAAAAAACTAAAACAAATAAGAACAAAGTAGCTTTAGTTTTAGACAAAAAGAAAAAGAAAAAAAATGACTAGCAGAAATTACTAGGAATGATTAGTTTGGGAAAACTGTTTCAACAACCGCTTATTAAAATAGCATACAGTGGGAGACAGCTTTAATAAAGGCATTATGGCTTATGCTTCTTTCTTTCTCTTCTTTTTAATTTTTTATAAGAAAGGTGGAGTCTATACCCTGGAATGATGGATTGAGGTCAGGTTACTAATTTTCATTGTTTAAGTTATTAAAAGATTCAAAGTAGTAGGTGGGGATGTTTTTTTTTTTTGTAATTTGGTTTACTTTTTAATTCTTTTTATAGTTTTTTAATTTATACTTTTGTATAATATAAATGTATTTTAGATTATAAATTCATATAAAAATATAAAAATTGATATTAATTTTAATATTAATATTATATAGATAAAATTTTAAAAAAATATAAATCGATTTTGACTTTTAAAATAAATTAGGGTTTCAACTTTAAATTACATTATTTTATTTAATTAAAATTTCAATTGAAATTTAAAAATTTATGTTATTAAATTTCTTAAACTAAATGTCATGTTCAATTTTAGATAAATATTTTACTCATAATAATTCTATTGTTATCACTTATAGTATTATTTTTTCTTACTTCCAAGATTTTTATTGATTTTTCAAAATAATATAAATAACAATATAAATTATTTTTGAATTGATTAATAAAAAAATTATTCTTAAATTATTAATCTACAAAAAAAATAAAAAAATTACTTATAATATTCTGAAATAAAAGAGGTAAGAACAATATAGACGAATCTGTATTTTCCTAAAATTCTTAATCTGAGGTTGCAGTTCAACTCAAATAAGCTTACGTGGCCCAATGAACGGGGAAGTATTGGCCCGAGAGTGCAAGAGGCGAGTGCCCCTAGCACTGGTCTAGAGTCAAAGGCCTAGAAATGGCAACTATTTTCTACCGCCAGAGCAGAAGTACTAACCATATTGGAGAAAATGGAGCACACCTCTATTTACAATATCGAAACAAAATGTAATCTCTTTCTTGGAAAAAGGTAAATTACCTAAATTCACTTTCAAATTTTGGTAGTGGAAACGATTTTACTTTAAATTAAAAAAATAATAATAAATTCATGATAAAATTTAATCTTTTATTTATTAACTATTATTCACTTATCATTTTAGTTTAAAAAATCTAGTTTTTCTCACATTCAACTATAAATTTTGAAAATCATTTCAAATTCATTTATCTAATATATTTCTATTAGTTTCTTTTACCGGAACCCATGACATGTTTATGTGGTATATGCTGTTTTGAAAAATTATA